GATGGAACTCACACTTCTCAGCTTTCACAAATAAACCATTCACAAGGAGCCTCTGCAGGACCTCGCGTACGTGCTGCACATGATCCCTCTCATTCCGGGAAAAGATCAGTATGTCATCCAGTTACACGAACACGAAGCCCGAACCCAAAAGGCATCACCAGATACTCATAGTTACCAGTGGGCGTGTTAAATGCGGTCTTCCACTCGTCACCCTCCCTGATCCTGATAAGATGGTAGGCGTTCCTCAAGTCCAGTTTCGTGAAGAACCGTGCCCCCTGTAACTGATCCAGAACAGAAGATAACAACGGCAGGGGGTAACGGTTCTTAACAGTGATCTCATTCAAGCCCCTATAATCAATACAAGGGCGGAGCGAACCGTCCTTCTTGCCAACGAAAAAGAAACCCGCCCCCGCGGGTGATGAGGATGATCGAATGATGCCAGCTGCTAAAGACTGTCCTATGTATTCCTCCATGGCTGTCCTCTCAGGAGCAGAAAGGGAATATAGACGTCCCCTAGGTGGACTAGTACCCGGAAGCAACTCGATGGGACAATCGAAAGGACGATGAGGCGGAAGGGCCGCTGCCCGGGACTTACTAAACACCTCCTGAAGGTCCTGGTATTCTGCGGGTATCTTGGACAGGTCCGGGGTCTCCCCTGGAGCTGTAGACGCCACAGGTGACCGGGCAGAGCGTAGACACTGGGAATAGCACGTCTGACCCCTGGCGGTGATATAACCCCTTCCCCAATCAATCTGAGGGTTATGCCTGAGGAGCCAAGGGTGACCTAATACTAATGGAACCTGTGGCGTATCAATAATAAACAGAGAAATCTTCTCAATATGGTTGCCAGATAGACGGAGACTCACCGGGACAGTAGCGTGGGTCACTGTTGCCATTCTTCGTCCCGTGAGGGATTGAGCCACCAGGGGTACTTGAATAGGTGTTGTGGGTATTCTCCAGTGCTGAACTAGGGTGGCGTCAATAAAACTGTCCTCTGCCCCGGAGTCAATAAGAGCAGCTAACGACTGCTGCTGACTCCCCCATGACAGCTGTTACGTGCCGCTGTTTTACCCCTCCTCCACATCCGAACTCCGCCCACGACCATGCCCACTCGGCCTGCCCTAGCTCCACCTCCGGGCCCCGCCTTCGATTCCCGTACGTCGTTGTCACTTCCGTCCGGCGCAGGATAACAGCCGGACAGAGACACACTTAGGGAGCTTAGCTCATTTTCTTGGATTATTGTTGGATTGCTTTCTTTGGTTTGGATAACTCGTGTATGACATTTTTGATTCCTTGGTTCACGATTCTTTGCCTTACCCCTTTTCTGTACTTTTGCCCCCATCTGCTTGACTTCCTGGTTATCGATCTTTTGCTTGTTTTTGGTTTACGTCTTTGCGCGCCCCTCAAACTTTGACGCTTTGCTGTATGTATGTTCTGTGTGATTGTTTGGTGCATAGGGAGTGATTGCCGGTTTTGGTTTGGAACTTTTTGTGAATGCTTTTTGGATAGGGAGTGAGGAGTAGCACTCGTTAGTTGGTTTTGCACTTAGTTAAGTTAGAATTGGGTTGTGTTTGGTAGGTGGGTTTTTGTTTCTTATTTTGGCGATAATCACTCCTTAGTCTTTCTGCACCTAGACCATTTGTTCTGTGTCTGTCTTGCGTGAATGCTGATCCGCTGGGTCCATCTTACTGGCGAGATCTTCTGTTGTGGCAAACCGTGAAGATCTCGCACTGATCAGAGAGCCGAGTTGCCTGATATAGTAACACCGAAACTGGGGAAAACGAGACACAGCTGGGAGAAGAGTGTCTGAAACGGGAGCAACCGGTACGGCCAGAACAACTGGTTGACAGGACGCAAACACCTCGGGGAAGCCCTATCGACTGGAATCCCCGGAGGGGCGTGGCTGAGACGACGAAGAGGGTTCCCTAGTGCTATCCATGACATCATTATGCTTACTCATTTTACCTGCTTCCAATACATCAACTTCAAGAACCAACTATTCACTTGTCTAATATATAATGGCACACTTGACAGCTGCTAATGTAATAAGACAATCAATGTTATTCACTTCATCTGTCAGTGGTTTTAATAACAATGTTATAGCTGATCGGTGTATAATGTGGATCTTGAAAGATACAGTAATGTAATCACGTTCACCTTTGTCTAATCTATTAATTATTTTTATGCCAGTACAGGAATAACAGGGTAAGCGAGCATCAAGATTATCAATTTAATGGTGAATGTTCACACATACCACACTGAATCAGCTTGGCAAGGAATAGGCTGCTTTCTCAGAAGATGGGGAGGCACAGGAGATTGGGAAAAGTTATTAACAAGACTGCTTAATTCAGAAAGCCATAAAGCACAGGCCTGAGCAGTGCATGCTGGGAAACATCACAGTCAGCATTAAGATGTGGCATGGGCATTTTATCAGGACGGCTGGAACGCCCTCTGAAATGAGGTCATCCAAATAGCTCATCTCTTTCATTCTCATTCCATAGTTTACTTTCCTTACTTTGGGGAAAAGCTTTGTTCCCCAGCCCCCATACGCTCCGCCACCCCCCAAAGATGACAAGCAGAGCGCATACTGTATACACTGTTGCTGCACAATATTCCATTTGCAGCATTCATGTAACCAAATAGAGTAAATGTCCCAAAATTAAGCATAGCAGATTGACGAAGATCAGAGTTTTTGTTCTTTTCAGGGGCTGGGGGAATTAAAAGTAAGATAATGAAAAACACCTTATTAATTAGCCAATTCATTGTACTTACAGTATGTCCAGTATGTAACTGCATTTGGGGTTCAATTTATCATGTCTGTGACTCACAAGTTACTGGAAAAGCAACAGTATAATTTATAGCTTAAAGTTAATGGATTTCATTCAGATTTGGATTAAAAAAAATAAATAAAAAGCACAAATGATCTGGGTATGCCAGAACACATGGAGAACAAAATAGCAGCTCTTTTGAATCAGTCCAAGCCTTGATCTTTAATTTCAACACAAGTATTGCATGATTTCAATTTTCATGTGGTCTTATTTATGCAATTGAGACAACATATCCATAGAACTTTTTTGTTTAAATTTTTTGTCGTTAAATGACCAAAATGATTCAAATTATCAGATTGTTCTACTCAAATTCTTTCCCAAAAGGGAAATGTTTCTCTATATGAATCATGCATATTTACGCACATGAGGCTGTTAGACAGTGTTGCGAGTTAAGGGAGGCTGATACAGTGCTCGCACAGCTTTGCACCAAGCCTTAGCTTTTCAGCCTTCTGGTGGAAAATCTTCTCATTAAACATAATACTGTAGGTAGCCTGCTGTAACTGCTTTGTTTTGTAGAGACAAGATCGAAGAAGGAGAGAGCTTGATATTGTGGAGGGGGTTAATAATTTAAAAGCAAAGGTCAGTATTTAAAGGGAAGGATCCCAAATTAAATATTAGCTGGTACAGCCCCCCCTGATTCCTACACCCTGAGTTTTTTCTTTCATATTGATGAAGTTTTCTACTTGCTTCTGGTTCTGCGTTTGCCATCAACCAAGGAAACATTTATGTGAATGAATGACTCCAACCTCATCCAGGTGCCCCATCCTGGGTGTGTGAGTTTGCCCTGCGATAGGTTGTTGCCCCATCCTGGGTGTGTGAGTTTGCCCTGCGATAGGTTGTTGCCCCATCCTGGGTGTGTGAGTTTG